ATGAGGTCAGGTTTGGGGTTTAAAGAAGATGATGTCATGCTGTGGGGGCACTGGGAAGGGGTAGTGATCCATTAGCCTTGGGGGTCAGGCACGAGGGATTATGAAAAGATTGAGAGTGGCTATGTGGAAATGCAAAGGGCTTTTGTAGGTGAAGTCACTGAGAGGACGAACAGGTCCAGAAGAAGGTTACTGTGGGAGATGTGCTGTATGGTAGTACCTGGAATGGAACGTGGACAGGCTTGGAAATGGAGCCTTCATCCCAGTTCATCTTACCACTCCTCTGACTCATTCTGCTTTTAAGGCCTGGGATGTAGATATGGGGCTGATTCCTACCTGGTAGAGGTGTTAGGAGGTTTCATTGTGTTGTGGCTGCTGGTGTGCAAAGCCTCCAGTCTCCATGATGCTCTATGGACGTGAGCTTACGGAGGCACCATCACTGTGGCCTGAATGTTAAGCGCAGAGTCCGATGAAGCAGTAAATCTTCCTTGATCTATACTAACCCTTCCCTTTCTTGACATTCCTGTGGTCTCCTTCCAGCCTGCAGGAAGCTGAGTACTTTCTTTCTCAACTTCCTGTGGCCCAGAGGCCTGTGAGCTCTTCTCATCTCAAGATTTATAGTGGCTGGGTGAGAACTGAACACTGAGGTTTGTCCTAACTCCTTTACCAGCTTCTCTAGTGCTGGTAGTATCTGTTCTCCTAGACTAAGATGTGGAGACCCCCAGGAGCTGCAGGGGCTGCTTGCCCACTCTGTTCTGAGAAGTCCTGTAAATAAGAAAACCAAACCATTTGTGGGAGTCAGGTTTTTTTTGGATTTTTTTCGAGACAGGGTTTCTCTGTATAGCCCTGGCTGTACTGGAACTCACTCTGTAGACCAGGCTGGCCTCGGACTCAGAAATCCTCCTGCCTCTGCTCAATCTATTGTGGAAGGACAGTGGTGCCAGAAGCAGCCAGGAAAAAGCAGATGCCTGCTAGAGGCTGCCTTTCCTATTTCACAGACCCAAGTCTATGCATGGAAATGCCCATGCTCAAAGCAGATCTCACTCCCTTAGTTAATCCTTTCCAAACACCCTCACCAAAAGAGATGTTCTCTGCTAATCTTCCAGGTGCTTCTCAATGGGTCAAGTTGAAGAGCAAGGTAAAAACCTTTGTTATGTTAGCAAACTCCAGTTAAGCATCTCACAAGCCTCATGTATGGGAGTCCCAGTTGTCCATGGTGATGGTGACTCTGCTTGCGTTGTGAGCACACTCTTGTGTTTCACACTCTGTCTGGTCTGTAGATCTCAACAGATGAACCCAGGGGACATTTGTTGCTTTTAATTGAACAAAGATAAAAGTTTTAAAATTTATGTATATGAGTGTTCAGTTTGCATGTATGCTTGCGTAACAGAAGAAAGCATCATATCCTATTATAGCTGCTTGTGAGCCACTGTATGGTTGCTGGGAATTGAACTCAGGACCTCTGAGTAACCAGTACTCTTAACCACTGAACCACCTCTCTAGCCCAAAGAGGTCCTTCCTTCCTTCCTTCCTTCCTTCCTTCCTTCCTTCCTTCCTTCCTTCCTTCCTTCCTTCTTTCCTTCCTTCCTCCCTCTGTCCATCCCTCTCTCTCTCTCTCTCTCTCTCTTTCTTTCTTTCTTTCTTTCTCTCCATCTAAAGTTTATTTTATCTTATGGGTATGGATGTTTTGCCTGCATATTTTTATGTGTACCATGTGTGTACCTGGTGTGAGTGGAAGTCAGAAGAGGATGTCACATCCCCTAGAACTTGAATTCCAGATCCAGATGCCTCCACATCCAGTCACCACATAAGTGTCAAGAACTGAACCCAGTTCTGAATACAGGAAAAGCATTTCCCAGTGCCTCAAAGACATACTTTTAAAGGATGTGATAGAAGACCCAAGGTCCTCACACTCTGGCTAATTGGGTCCCTAACCCAATTCATATTCCATTCCCGGAGTGAGAGAAGGAGCCAGTGCTAAAAAGCTTGGGGATCCTGAAGTAGCCAATCTCTGTTTAGTCAGCACCCTGGGGAAGAAAAGAAAGGAAGGGAAAATGAAGTCTGTCTACAGAAGGATAGTCATAATATTGTTTGAGAACAGATCCTGAAATGTCTTCCTAGTGTAGACAAGACCTGGTCTTTTGAGTATAGAGAAATATCTTGGTGACTGTTGCTTCTGTGCTTCAGTGAGGAAGGGAAGATGTCTTTATTGTCAAGTTTAAGAGATTGTAATTTTCGCCGGGCAGTGGTGGCGCACGCCTTTAATCCCAGCACTTGGGAGGCAGAGGCAGGCGGATTTCTGAGTTCGAGGCCAGCCTGGTCTACAGAGTGAGTTCCAGGACAGCCAGGGCTATACAGAGAAACCCTGTCTCGAAAAAACCAAAAAAAAAAAAAAAGAGATTGTAATTTTCCAAGTGAGAGAGGGGGTGGGAGGGAGTGAGGCTGGGCCAGCGTTACCTCCCAGAACTATTTTCTAGCCCCTGTAGTCAGTACTGTGGCCCACTGGCTACATCATTCGGATATTCTTATTGACTTCTACATACTGTGGTTGATACTGATATTAAGCACATGTTGGACAGAGAAGGGGAGTGAGACACTCGTGTGTGTACTTACATGTAGTGTCATGGAAGAATGAAGAGAAAACTCAGTCATACACACCGGGACACAAAATGGGTGCTGGGGAATACTTCTGAGCTCCCTTTTCTGATTACTGCACCTTGTACCAACCCTTCTGCTTGCAAAGCATCTCCTGCATCCGTGATACACAAAGGCCTTTGCTCTATTGCTGGTGGGTAGGACACTGAAGCAGCCTGTGTTTCTCACCAGTGCTTGCAGGGGTCAGCTGGTAGAAATATCTAGGAGGGGAGGGTCAAAAAGGAAGTGACACATTTGGACCTGACAGTCTGGGAGACAGAGAGGAAAGAGGCACAGCCAAAAGAAAGGACCCGAGGCTGTATTTTCTCGTGGGGCAATTTCTGTGTCACAAAGCCAAACCATGCTTCCTGATGAAGCCACCCCCTGGATGCCTTCCAGGCATGGCCAGCTGACAGCAGCAGCCTGTGAGAAGATGGTGTGGAGAGTCAGGGAGCCCCGGAAGATGCCCAGTCTCAAGCCAGAGGGCCTGTTTTCCATGTCTTTGATGGTTCCACGGCATACTTTCCCAGGAAAGTCTTAAAAAGTGTAAGCCCTCTTACACACACACACACACACACACACACACACACACAGACAGCTCATGCGCAGAAGTGGACATAATGCACAGTTTGATGCTGAGCTAGGCAAGCACCTGGATAAACGGGAATATTACCCCTTTCAGAAGGCCTGCTCCCCCACCAGTTACTCACCAGAACTTTGTTTTGATTTCTTCTTTTGTTACTTTAATTAACTATTGCTATTCATTTGTGTGTGCATGCATGCATGCATCCAAGGAGAACTTGGTAGAATCTCTTTTCCGTCAGCCATTTATGTGGGTTCCAGGGATTGAACTCATAGTTAGCAGGCTTGTACCCCTTATCTTGACTTCTAAGATCACAGAGAAGTTTAGCTTTTTTGTGTCATCATAAATATACTTTCCTGTTTTCTTCCTTAGTCCTCCCGCTCTCCCCAGCCTTATTTATCTTTGTGATATGTGCCTCTGTTCTCGGTCAGAGTACCGTTCAGTCATGTGAGACTTCTTCCACAGGTCATAGAACTTTAATGGACTTGACCACGGCAACGTAAACTTGACTTCAGGGCTTCAGACTTGTCTATGGCCTCAGTAAACGTTTAACCATGTCTTTGCCCCCTTCTCCCTATTACTAACTGAAGTTGTGCTGAATACCACACCTGTCCCTTTCCTCTGGATGTCTTCCCCTCTTAGAGCCTGAATGGACTGCAGGCCTGAGAGTCAGCAGCTGGGTTCCCCCTGATTGCTACCCTGGGCCCCAAATTTCTTATTTCTGCAACCAAATAATAACAATTTATAACTAATTTCTCTCTCTCTCTCTCTCTCTCTCTCTCTCTGTGTGTGTGTGTGTGTGTGTGTGTGTGTAGATGAAATGAGATTTTCATATATGGGAAATGTCTGAATTTTTAGTCATAGCCATCTTCCTCATAAGGTAACTCAGCACACTGGATAGGGCCTCAGATTGGGAAGACGGGTGACTGTTTGTCTAGCTTTTCCTGTTCTTTTTCCTGTTCTCTTTCTGGTGTATATCACACTTACGGTCTGTGTCTCCCAAATATTCTGGGAACTTCATTGAAGAACTCCAGGTGGTCGGGGCTTTGTATGGGATAAGGTCAGCTTCTAGCAGAATAATCGACAGATGCTCAGTGAAGGGCTGCTAATGCTCTGAGGTGGCTAGGGAAGTTCAGGTCCCAACCTCTGTGGTTTCTAGGATAATGTGAATGCACTGGATTGAGGAGACCAGCATAGTCGCTGGACCAGTCTAGAAGGGTCCAGGAATTCCTGAATGAATAAGAGAATAGGCTTCCAGGCCCTGTTCTGGAGCAGCAGCTCACAGGGTAGGGCAGGACTTGGAACCAGGCCAGCCTTTTGTGGTTGCCTTTAAAAAGAAACAAAACAAAGACTGACTTCCGACCAGCTGACCCCTAAGCCTCTAAACTGAGTAGCTCCCTGCTGGGACCTTTCAGACCTGCAGGGGAGCTTGGCTGGGTGCCAAGGCCCGGCCTTCTGTCAGCCAAAGCAAGCCAGTGACTGACTCTCCCTTCATCCATACTGTTGGCTCCGTCAGGCCTTACTCTCCTCCCAGCTGGCTCTGAGGCGCTCCTGCCTGGAGGATAGCAACCAGCTCAGTGTTCCTCAATGAAGGCTTTAGCTCAGTGTTCCTCAATGAAGGCTTTCCTCTTATTCCCCTTACCCTTAGACCTTCTGCTCACCCACCCTCCCCTTGTTTTTAAAGCACATTTCTCTGAACAGGTCAGGGTCAGATATAAGGAAGGAGTGGTGATTGCTACTGTAGTCTGTGATTGGGCCAACATGGTTTTCTTTTCCCTTGTCTCAGGCCTGATTTTCTTAACTCCACCATGGTAAGAAGATGCCCTCCAGCAGGTTGTGCTTGCAGACTACGTGGAGCCTCTCCCGAGATTTTCTGAACCCTGTGGATTTACAGGAAGACACAGTTTCCTGGGGAGTAATTCTAATGGATGCAAATTCTGGAGTAATACACCTGACTTGCCTGGAGACAAGTAACCGAATGGATTCTTCTTGCCTGGATGCCCACTGGGAACAAGGACCATAGCTGAGAGGACTGTATCTCTACCTTTGACTCAATGGGAACATTTGCTCAGATCTCTCGGGCTACCTGGAGCTCCCTCTAAAAATGTAAGTCCCCAAGACCCATCTCCTTTCAATGAAGTGTTTCTGGCATGTTCCTGGGCTTTATGCCAAGCTGTCCTAGCTTCCGGTTGAGGGCTGTCTGTCGATGTCACTGCTATGAGAAGATCTGTTGTCTTTCATGTCCATCTATATGATGCTGGGAGCCTATGGGAGAAAGATAAAAAGTAAAAGTTGTCCTAAGTTAAAATAATAATAAAAAGAGAATCCCCCCCTGGGGCTACACTTACCCAAGTTGATGGGTCTTTACTGATTGAAGGTTTTCTATCTAGACTCTAAATGCCTTAAAGGCCAAGGCCTGAGGAGGATGACCGTGTCTCTGAGACTTAGTGTGTACCTGGCATTGGCCTCTCACCCTATGAGAATATAAATGAAGATGTGATGGTTAATTCATTAAGACACTGGCAATTTCATAGGGAAGATAGACACAATAAAAATCCTTTCTTGGCTCTAGGCCAAGAGCTGAGAACACCATGGGACCAGATGATTGGTACCGTGTATATCAGCAGGTGGCTGTTCTGAGTTTAAATCTCTACCACCCTATGTGACTCAGGGCCAGTGGCAATCCGGTTCCCTTCCCTTTTCTCTTTTAACATGACTGAAGTTAGTATTCTCTTCTGTCACAGGGTTGGTGTTGAGGTTCACCACAGGTACTATGTGCTGAACATGTACTTAATGCTTAGCACAGGCTCAGGAACATGTCAGTGCAGGGCAGCTTCTGGGGAAGGTGACTGTTGGTTTGTCATGAGAAGTTTCTAAGCCGAGCCAGGTAAGCAGTGGCTTGGCCTGGACAGTAGGTTAAGGGTCATAGTTCCTGCAGCCCATGGAAAGGCTAAGCATCAAGCCTGCATTGGCTAGACAAAGGGAGGGAGTAGTGGATTTGACAACCAAAGTCTTTGTAGTCCTGCAGCTGGCGGGAATCTTGACTCCTTAGGGGTTACAAGGTTGGTAGAACCCAGGAATGTTACTGTAGTGCCAGGTAACCCAAAGGAAAGTGGTAGCCCCAGTAGGAGGTAGCAAAATGCTCAGGTCACCATTCGGCTGCCAAAGTGGAACTTGACATTGAGTCTGCTTAGGATGGGCTTCTAGGTCTAGTGTCCCAAGAACAAAGTTTTAGGCAGGCCTAAAAGGCCCGTGCACACAGAGCCCTCTGTTTATTGTTAGTCACAACCCCTAGATGTGTCCTGGCTTTATGCTAGAGGAGCCTGAGAACCTCACTGGCTTGCTTAAAGTCTGGACACATAGTGCACTGCTGCAGCAGAGATCGTCTGGTGAGATGATGACCCGTTGTAGTTTCCCAGCAGCCCCAGTGAACGTCGATGTGAGCACAGTCCTTTGGAACAACTGTGTAATTGAGTCTAGCACTCCTTTGGGAGGGTAGTGTGTCTACACTCTGTAGTTGAGAGTGAGGCTTGTGACGTAAGTAGGTATATGCTTAGAAGGCCAAGCTGGAGGCTGGCTGCCGGGTGTTTTATGCAGAGCCTCCCATAGATGCTGACCGTCAGCTATCCTTTGTATCAGATATTTATATTATGATTCATAGTAGTAGCAAAATTACAGTAGCAATGAAACAATTTTATGGCTGCAGGGAGAGGGGGTGGGTCACTACAACATGAGGAACTGTATTAAAGGGTCACAGCATTGGGAAGGTTGAGAACTGCTGGTCTGGGGAGAATCTGTGCCTTTGGTAAGTAGGGGCTTATTGGATAGGGGATTTGGAGCTATGCTTCCCGACCTGCCTGAGCTGGCGTGGTGACTGGAGTCATTACAGGGAGGGGCTTTTAGCCTCACTATTCCCCCCTCCCCATTTTCCTCTGTGGCAGCTGTACCTCACTTATCACATGGCTCACAGCCCCCTTTCTCTGCTTTTATTGGTCACTCTCTAGAAGAACCCTTTTGTGGTGGTTCTCTTTATCTCCTGCCTCTCGCAAGAGGGTGATGGTGGGCTCAGGCTCCAAAATACACAGAACTATAACTGTGAGAAATAAGATGGTTGCTGGATAGGCATGGATCTAGCAGATAGCACCATTTATTAGGCCTGTGCAGGCGATATGGCAAACGTTGAACCACGTATGCGTCAGAACAGAACCACGGGGTAGACATTGTTAAGGTATGGGTTATGAAGCAAAGTAGGTTTCCCCAGGGAACACAATGCTGCCAACCTCCACAACCATGGACCACACGGGCTGGAGTTGAGAGATGGGACTCCTGCTCCCTTCTTGTCCCCTCTAGTGACTACAATCTGGAGCAGATCACCTTTCTTCTTTTCGTCCGTTTCCTCATTAGTAGGGAGCTAAGTGGTTTTTCTTCTAGGCTGACGTGCTTGGGAATGAAAGGGTCCTTGTGACACAAGCGCAAGCCAGGCAGACACCCGGATGTAGTAGCTTCTAGGGCCTGCAGCCTCCAGCACCAGGCCCAGAGAACACAGGTCTTACCAGGTGGATAATTGGCACTCATGCTTGAGATGCTGGCAGTACTACAACTGTGGTGCTGTTTGTCCTGGCACTGGTGATGCTGGTGGCATTGATTGTGGTGGTGTTGGTACTGGTGACTTCCAAGGCCCCTGGCAGCTTTGCCTTTCCCTCTTGTGGCTGCAAGAGTAGGCAGCATTTCTTTTCTGTTTATGGTTCAGCTCCTCAATAATTCCTCAGCTGCCTGGCGGGGCCTGTGTCCTGTTGATTACTGTTTTCCATTCTGGTTCTCCTTAATGGGCTTCTGTGCTAATGGAAGCACTTGTACTAGTGGAGGGAGGGCTGTCCCTCAAGATCCTCCAGCCTCCATTCCTGGAGATAGCTGAGCATCCTGGACCTGTCCCAACGCAGAGGTGCTGGGAGCCCTAGTGGGTCTGCATAGTTTGGCATAAAAACAGTCTGGCCCTCTTTCTTTTTTAGTGTTCTTGGTGCTCTGCATGGGGCTGTCTATGAACTCTCTCGATCACCTAATCTGCTGGGGTGGGTACGGCCTTCTGCTTCACATTTGAAAATTCTGAGGTTCAAAGAGATCTACAGAGTCATCAAGGGCATCCTGGTTCTTCATATAGGTCCCAGAAGCTATGCTTACGTTTGGACTCGGCAAGCCTGTTTTAGAGAAAAATGATTGTTCTGTATGTACTTTAACACATTTGTAAAGAAATAGCTACTGGTACATGAGGCCTTTGATGTCTGACATATCATTGCTAAGAGTACAAAAATCTAATTTAATGAATAACTTCATTTTCAGAATACATTAAGGCTCTTAGTCTCGAGGGGCCTTTACTTGGAGTATAGGTCCATGTTTACAGCTGTGGTACTGTGGCTGTGGGGAGCCCATGATATCACAGGAGCAAAATTTCAGAGCCTGTGACATGGGTAGCTACAGGTCCTGTGACTACTATGCTTCTCTCTGAATCTGTAGGATTCCTTATGAGATGGCTGCTTAACTTGATTCACAGCAACACACACACACACACACACACACACACACACACTACCCTATTGAAAGCATCTTATCTATGTATGCTTTTTATGTTTATTATGCATAAACCACATTTGTTTATGTGTATGGGTGTTTTACCTGGATGTATGTCTGGGTAGCATGTTCATGTATATCTACACAGCATGTACATGCATGTCTGTACAACATGTGCAAGCAATGCTTGCAGCCCATATACTGTGCAATTGCAGTTACAGACAGCGGTTATCTCTCATGTGTGTGTTGGAATTGAGTCACATGAGTGCTGGGAATTGAAGCAGGGTCCTCTGGAAGAGCAACCAGTACCCTTAACCACCATGCCATCCTTCCAGGTCCTGAGAACAACTTATAATTATGTGAAGCATTGACTGCAGGTGGTGTGTGGGCCCTGTTCAGTCTCTCGTGCATATTGAATACCCAGCATGCTCTAGTCAGCCCCTCCATTACTCTAGGTTGACTCACATAGTAAATATTCCCACTGTGCAGTCAGCTGGTGACTTTATATCTTTCATTCATTTCTTTTCAATGATTGAAGGCTATTATCTTCCTCACAAGTTTATAGTGAGAATGAAAGAAAACACACATTTGAGCGTTTGAATCAGCGGGTTTTTTGGGGACATATAACATCTATTCAGGGAATATTAGTTATTTTTAAGTTGATTGTTGAAGTAGAATTGGAGATGAAAACACACAGACACAGAGAAATAAGAAAATGCTGAAGATGTGTCATGACTCACGGAAATTTAATGTTCAATCTAGCTCTGGGTTTCTTAGTTACCACAGCATGCTGAGTGGGTTATATTTGTGTCTAAATTAAGGTTTGGCAAACTTTTCCTACCCAGGGCTAGAAAGTAAATATTTTCAGCTTTGGGAGCCCTGCAGTTGTCTACTGCTCATCCACCCAATGATACTACTGGGAAGCTGCCATTGGCGGTATGTAAATGAGTGGGTGTAGCTGTGTGCCAATAAAACTTTATTTACAAGAACTGGCCATGGGCCCATAGGCTGTCGTTTGTCCTTGTTTTAAATGAGGAAACCTGTTTGTCTTTGTAAGAAATTTCTCCTGGATCATAAACACTGGATGGAGTTTGTCATGAGATATAATATTTGTATGAAGTTATGGCAACAGCAGATGGATAGCGCTTTCATTGGGTTTCACAGGAAACATAAAAGAAGACCTTTATACGGTCAGTTTCATGTCTACTGTGTCTTAAGCAGTGATGTTGACAGATAATACATGTACTTTGGCTGAGATATGTGACTGGCAAGGGAGAGACCCTAGTGATGGTAATTCAGCAAGGTCATGTTAGAGTATTTTTAAGTATACCGTTTAGTCCCTGGGTTACATTCAGGACTCAATGCTCCTTCAGAGCAAAATTAATCAGGTTTGGAACCCTTCTGTTTCATAGCTGATTGGTCTCCCTCCACTTTCTTAAGCTTGCTGAGCTCTGTTTTGTCCATCTGCAAATCTGAGTTGCACCAGGGCTGGATCAACTAGTGTTTGCTTTTTAGTTCCTTCCCACACAAGATCCAGGAAGCGG